GAATTTGAAGACACTTTCCCATGATGTGTCATTTGTGATGAGTATTAATAAATCAAAAGGACAAATTCTAGACAGAGTAGGAATAGTCCTACCTGAACCCATTTTCAGACATGGTCAGAAATATGTTGCTTTCTCTCGAGTTCAAAGAGCGTGCGATGTTAAAGTTAAAATTGTAAGTACTTTATCACAAGGGAAATTAGTCAAGCACTCTGAAAGTGTTTTTACTCTTAATGTGGTATACAGGGAGATATTAGAATAAGTTTAATCAATTTATCAGTCATCGTTTTTATCAATGTTGTTTTTGTATCATGTTTTTGTTGTTTTTATATCATGTTTTTACATCGTGTTTTTGTTGTTTTCATATCATGTCTTTGTTGTTGTATCATGTTGTTATTTATTAATAAATTTATATATTATTTTCATATACATTTTACTAATTTTCTTTCATCTCTGACACTTCTATTAGAGAGAAAGGGTGAATAGCAATGTTAAAATATTTCTTCTAATTAATTTCCTTTCAATGTGCATGAAGCCATGCACCAGGCCACTAGTTGTAAATAGCACCGCAACAAACATAGGGGACATATATTCTTTTGAATTAGTGTTTGGGGCTTCTTTGGATAGATTCCCAGAAGTAGTGGCATCTTATTGTAGTTTTAGTTTGCTTTCTTCAGATAATCTTTTCAAGTGATTTTTGGTCATTTCCTCTTCTAACAGGTACCTGTTCAAGTCTTTTTCTCTTTTAAACGTGGATTGTTTTGTCTTTTACTTATGGACTTCTAGGAGTTCCTTTATGTTCTAAATATAAGTCCATTGTCAGGTATGTGAAATGCAAATATATTCTCCCAGTCTGTAGATTGCTTCTTCATTTGCTTAGTAATGTCTTTTGAGGAGCCTAAGTTCTTATATTTAAGAAAATCCAAATCATCAATTCTCTCAGTGTAGTGTTTTTTGCATTCAATTTGAGATATTGATCATGAAGATACTTTTCTATGTTTTTTAGTAGACAGATTCTTTTTAACTTTTGCATCAGGTCTATAATTCATATTACATTAATTTTTATTAATGTAATATGAAGTAAAAATTCATCTTTCCCCATACAGATTATCCTCTGTATGGATATCCAGTTTCTCCAGCACAACTGAATTGCAGTAGCACCCTTTTTGTAAATCAAATGAACATACATGTTTGGGTCAATTTCTGGACTCTATTCTGTTCCATTGGTCTTTGTCTAGCCTTGTGTCAGTAGTACTTTGGCTTTATTATTATAGCTTTACATTAAACACTGGTATCTGGTAGTGTGTGTTCTTCTCCAAGATTGTCTAGGCTGCTCTAAGATTTTGTATTTCCATGTAAATACACTCTCTAGCTAGCTAATTATCCATTAGCTAGATAATTCCCACACATAAACCTTGTAAGAAGTTGATTGCAATTGCATTAAATCTATAAGTCAATTTGAGGAGGATTGACAACAATACTGAGTTTTTCAATTCATAGTTTAGTTCTCCATTTATTTAGATCTTCTTCTTGATGACTTTGTTGAATATCTGATTTAATTTAATCAACCCTGGAGTTGCCTGACCGTGGTCTTGATATTAAATTACAACATTACATACAATCATTATGTAATACATTTTCCTTACTGCTTAAACAATTTTTTTTTTCTGGTTACTTGCAGCCCAAAGCATCTGAACTGTCAAACTTTCCTTGTAGTGTGATGGAGTAAGCAGAAGGCTTGAATCTATGCTACTCCCTGTGTGGCCATGGGTAAGTCACCTAACCTCTTTGGGCCTATTTCCTTATCTATGGAAACCTCACAGGGTTAGAAACTTGTTCTCTTTTTCACAAACAAGGGGAACGCTGACTTATCTTTCTTTTTTTTTTTAAAAATTGTTTTATTGCTTAAAATATTACAGAGATCATTACATATTGACTCATCTTTCTTGTCCAATTTAAGTGTCACTTTCTTTGGGAAGGCTTTCCTGACTCTTTCAAAAAAACCTAGCGCCTGGCCGGCATGGCTCAATTGAGCGTTGACCTATGAATCAGGAGGCCACAGTCAGGGCACATGCCTCGGTGTGGGCTCAGTCCCTAATGTGGGTGTGTAGGAGGCAGCTGATCAATGATTCTCTCTCCTCATTGATGTTTCTAATTCTCTCTCCCTTCCTCTCTGAAATCAATAAAAAAATTATGTATTTTTATAAAACACACACATAAAACCTAACTATTCTTTTCCTATACATGCCTCTTAGAGCAATCAGCACACTGTAATGTCATTGTTTGCATGTCTGTCTGCATCAGTGCCTTCCTGGATCATTCAGGGACTTGGTAGGGAACAGAGGGCACACTTAAAGGGCTTAATTAAAGAAAGTGTAATGAAGAGACAATAACAGAGGAATAGACAGGATTAAGGGAACCCATAGGGGATGATGAGGCACCCCAGGGAATAACCACAGAGGCATTGATACCACTCTTGAGTCTGAAGGATAGAGATGAAGGAAGTGTTACTGGGACCGAGGGAGACCCATGGGCAGGTGGGGAAGGAAGAATAAACACCCCACCCTGCCTCTTCTCACTCTCTGATTTCCTTCAGCTCTCATTGGATCAACCCAACCAGAAGTCAGAGGACAAAGGAGTCCAGGTGATACAGTTTGTAGAGTTCAGCTTCCAGAGGAACAAAGTAGAGCAGCAAGAAGCAGAAATGAATAAAGGAGAAGAAATAGGTAACGGACAGCATATCACCTTCAGCATAAGCTTCTTCAGAATGGATGCTGAATCTTTAAAAAATAATGTTGCCATAGTGTTTTAAACATTCGTTACAAAAATGCATACATCATAGAAAATAAAAGGCCCCCTGTTAGCCCCAGAAATACCCATAGCTAACTACCTGTTCTGAAATATTTCCGATTTTACCGTATATAAAAGCACTCTGAATATGGGTCTGTAGAAGACTGCAGTTCCAAAAATGACCACAGCAATATTTCTGGTCTCCCGTGGTCTTCTTGACATTGCCACGCCCCTTCACAAGGTGAGTCTATTTTTCCTCCCCTTGAACCTGGGGAGGGTTTTGTGATTGCTTGGACAGGGAGAATGTGGCGAAGTGATGCTGCATGACTTCAAAACTAGGTCATCAAAGGCAATATGGCTCTGCCCAGAATCTCTCTTTCTTGGGATGCTCACGTTATGAGGAAACCCGGGTCCCATGAAGAGGCCGCGTGCAAGTGCTCTGGCTGATTGCCCAGCTGAGGTCCCAGCTGACAGTGTTAACTGCCAGGTAAGCGAAAAAATGAGCTTCCAGATGATTCCAGCTTCCAGCATCCGAGTGACCTCCGCTGGAGCAGACAATTACTAGTGTCCTCATGAAGCCCTGCCTGAATCGAAGATTCATGAGCAAAATAACTGTTTTTATTTTATTTTATTAAAGCCACTGGGATTTTGAAAAACTTGTTATATAGCCATAATAAGTAGAACAGAGGCAGTATCAGGGAGTTAAACCCTCAAGCTCTGGCGTCAGACTTCTTGGGATTGAATGTAGTCTCTATCTCTTATTCCCTGTGTAATATTTGACGAGTTGTTCACATTCTAATCCTCAGTTTCTTCATCTGTAAAATGGGAACAATGATATTAAAACTCTCAGAGGGAAAAGAAACCTCTCAGAGAGTAGGATTGGGGTATAAAGCAATCAGCTCAGTGCCCAGCAGGTATTAAATTATTATTGGTATTAATCATTGATTTCCTAAAATAGAGGTGGGGAAATGTGGACCAGGGATGGAGAACCTTTTTTCTGCCAAGGGCCATTTGGATACTTATAACATAATTCTCGGGCCATACAAAATTATCAACCTAAAAATTAGCCTGCTATATTTGGTCATTCATTTAATTAACTCACCCGTAATGCTTTGGCAGGGCCAGACCACATGATTTCACAGGCCTTACACTGCCCAGGGGCCAGATGTTCCCGACCCCTGCCCTAAAAAGCAAGCAGGAAACATACCGATTGAGCAGAGCTAAGCCTATTTCAGAAAGGGAGAACAGCGCCCGGGAAAGTCTGAGCAGTATCTCCAAGTGAAGACGCTTCATTAAGAAAGGACATGGGGTTTTAAAGGCTGCGCTGTTCTAAGGTGGGTCACATAAGGCAGGTAATTGGTTGGGATTGGGCAGAACTTAATGACATAAGAGCTTTGGGTTGGTGGGTCCAGAAGGATCAACCTAAAAATTAGCCTGCTATATTTGGTCATCATTTAATTAACTCACCCGTAATGCTTTGGCAGGGCCAGACCACATGATTTCACAGGCCTTACACTGCCCAGGGGCCAGATGTTCCCGACCCCTGCCCTAAACAGCAAGCAGGAAACATACCGATTGAGCAGAGTTAAGCCTATTTCAGAAAGGGAGAATGGCGCCCGGGAAAGTCTGAGTAGTATCTCCAAGTGAAGATGCTTCATTAAGAAAGGATGTGGGGGCCGAAACCGGTTTGGCTCAGTGGATAGAGTGTCAGCTTGCGGACTGAAAGGTCCCAGGTTCGATTCCGGTCAAGGGCATGTACCTGGGTTGCGGGCACATCCCCAGTGGGAGATGTGCAGGAGGCAGCTGATCGATGTTTCTCTCTCATCGATGTTTCTAACTCTCTCTCTCTCTCCCTTCCTCTCTCTGTAAAAAATCAATAAAATATATTTTTAAAAAAAAGAAAAAAGAAAGGATGTGGGGTTTTAAAGGCTGCACTGTTCTAAGGTGGGTCATGTAAGGCAGGTAACTGGTTGGGATTGGGCAGAACTTATGACATAAGAGCTTTGGATTGGTGGGTCCAGAAGGGCAAGCGCCTTGAAGTGAGTCTAGATGAGCAAGTTTTCTATTTTAATAAGTAAAGTGTGTCACTGGTTCCATCTTATCTTAACAGCAGGCATTTCCCAGAGCAAGCAGGTAAATTATTACTTGGCGCCAGTATTATTAAATGCAGATAGAAGAGTGTGTTGCTTTCAATTCTTTTTTTTTCCATAGAGAAGGGATCATACTTTATCCCACCTACTATATTGAAACTTGCCTTTTTATTTAACACCAAATC